ATGGATAGAACAGATTATTCTGTTTCTTCTGGTGGTAGGTTTAAGTTGCTTAATTTTATGTGGTGGTCACGGCCCGTAGGAGGCTATTTCAGCTGGTAGACTTAAGGACTTCCAAGCAAACCTGATGAGTGTGTAGACTAGGAGGAGGCCCAGAGCATTCAAATTGTTGCATAGAAGCCTTTATATCTGCTTTGGATATAAACAAGAATATTTTTCAGATTATTTCGGTATTTCTTCCATTTATTGTTACCTGACCACAGTTCTGTATCTTACAGGTATCTTTGCTCCCAGAAAATGACAGATGGAGTGAAACTAGATCCCAGTTGCTTGCACAGATGGATGTCTGTATGGGAGGAAGAGTAGCAGAAGAGCTCATATTTGGAAGTGATCACATCACAACAGGTCAGCTGGTTGTTAGTTAAAAGAATTCTTGATCAAAGCTTGCGGACTGGCATGTTTAATTTGGTTTCAATAACATAATTTACATCTGTTTGCTATCTAGGTGCTTCCAGTGATTTTGACAATGCTACTAAAATTGCAAAACTGATGGTGACTAGATTTGGAATGAGCGAGAAGGTAGTATCATCAATCGTTCAATATTTATATGGTACAAAGAAATAACTAAATGCCTATTTGGCTGTCAGTGATCAGAGAGACTAAGTAGTTCCGGCAAAAAAGAAAGTAAGCCTTCTGACTGGCTCTGCTATATTGAACTCAACTAGAAAACCTGTATGTTTGACAGTTTAAAAATTAACTTGCAAGATCTTCACCTCAAAATTGCATTGAAAGTTACTAATGTCTGCAGAAAATGTTTATAATAAAACCGAACATTTTGGAATTGAGGATAATCTTGGGGTTTGGGTGGGACACATGACAACAGCATTGAGTTTTCTAGTCTCCTAAAGAAACTTCTTTAGTCATCTTTATTACCCATCAAGTGTTAGTAGTCTGGGGATTTTGTTCTGTTTTAAATAAGAAAATGCTTAATCGGGATCTGTACTGTTACCTGTTGAAACAGAACTCTGCAGTGACTACGTAGTTGATGAATAGGCTTGTTTTGCTTCTGTTGCAAGCACTTCAGCAAGCATTTGATTAATGATTTTATTTGTTTGCTCGTAGAAGCAATAGGTGATGAAGCTCTTAGTGTTTTATGTGTATTACTGCAACAGTGGTAAGATAAGCATTTTTGTTGTTGTTGTTTAGCTTGGTGTTATGACCTATGCTGACACAGGGAAAGTTAGCCCTGAAACTCAGTCTGCAATTGAACAGGAAGTAAGAACGCTTCTACGGGTAAGATTCTCTCCCCCTTCGCTCCAATACATTTATTTTGAGATGAGCGGAGCATCAGCTTCCTTGATTATTCAGTTTGATAATGTACACTGGTGAAAATACACCAGTATGGAAATACACCAGGATGGAAGTATTCCCAAGTATTTAACGTAGCTGCAACTTTGAATCTCTGCATATCAAAGTTTTTTGGTGATAGCCATGCACAAGTAGTGAGAAACAAGTTGGTGGTGTTAGGTTCTTTAATACACACTTTAACACTTCCTCTTACGTTTGGTCAGGATTTGTATTTTGCCTATTCAATTCACAGGAAAAAAAGTATGGCTATGAATTGGTTCAGAACAGATGTGAATGTGTTACTCACATGTTTCATAACTTGCAGCTAAATGATTTTGTACAGAATCACAGGAATGGCCATATTGGATTGGAGAGTTGCCTTTTCCAGTATCCTGTTTCTCACAGTGATCAGTATCAGATGGCTAGGGAAATTTGTAACATTCGATAATCACAGAACTTCCGATCACTATTCTGGTAATCTGAATTAGTTTGGTACAGGCAGGAGAATTATTTATATTGTAACATTTGAATGATTAACACTTCTGCTGTAGCTGTTTTTGAACTGACTTGGTCATGTAAGAACTATCTGTGTAGAACTAAAAGTTGAAGCTGGTAATGCATCAACATGCATCTACTTGCAGCAACTGGTAACTTGCTGGATAGCTTTCAGCTTTCTAAAAGTACGTAACACTTCGAGAGTTTTATAAGCTTTTAAATGCTTTAGTCTTTGAGTAACATTCCTTGAATGCTGGAGCACTGCTCATAGTGTAAAATCAAATATATTTCATTTAATCAGCAACTTTTCAAATCCAGTAAGTCTTTTCTGAGTCATACATAAAAATGCTAATGTTTATCTCAGGATTTTATTTTTAGTTCAACTTCTGAAAAATGCAAAGGTGGCATAAAGTTTGGTTGGTTTTTTTTTTTTTTTAATTAATTATGCCAGCTAGATTTTAAATCTTCGTAGGACAGGAGCTGTGCTAGCTGTGAAATGTAAGGCACAACTTTAAATGTTTGTTTCAAGCTGTATTTACCTGGAAACAATTTTTAAAGTGCAATCTTGCTGCTGTTTTTGTTCTAAAGTCTTAAAATCTCTTTCCACTTTTTTTAATATTAGGACTCATATGAGCGAGCAAAGAACATCCTGAAGACTCATGCAAAAGAACACAAGAATTTAGCAGAAGCTTTATTGAAATATGAGACTTTGGATGCCAAAGAAATCCAAATTGTTCTAGAGGGAAAAAAACTAGAAGTAAGATGATAACTTCTGTGATACAGTAACTGATAATTCGAAGAATGTACATCTAGCAATGCAGTAGTCTTATGCAGCATAGCCTTTTTTTCCCTTCCTGATGTGTGTATGGCATTAGTGGCACTTTAATATTATTCTGTCTCCTGTGAGCTTCTGTTACTCATCTATTTGTTGTGTCTCATCAGAGTAAGACACACAAAATAAAGCAAGTTCCTCATCCTCTGCTCCCTATACGCTTCCCACAAGAAGTTATTCAGAAGGATAAATCTCAGGGTTGAATTCAGCGCTTTGGTTTAGTCAAACGTGTTGAAGCTGAGAAGAAAAAGCAGATATACTGGTGTGTTTTGGTATAGCTTCCTGGGTCATGCCGCTACATGTGCATTTGAAGTGATACCCCACAATATGCGCTATGGAATGTTTTATGGAGAGTGACAGACTGGTTTGTAAAACAGTAGTATGTAGTCTCACTAGTGCTCATATTCTGTTTGAGGCTAGAGATCACTTTTAAAGAAGACTTCTTATTTAGAAATGTAACAAAACATCTCTAAGAATGAAGTGGCTACACAGTGCATCTCTATTAAAGGGAGTTGTGGGAGCTCCGTGTTAGACAAAAACATTAGTTGTTGTTCTCAGTGCTCTTGGGGTTAAAATACACACATGTATGGCTGGGAGAGAAACTTTCATGCAATAACAACAGGCTAAACATGCCTAAGCCTCTTTGGACCATGTTTTGGGCAGAATCATGGCAGGGATAAGAGAAATACCTGTGACCTCTGATGTGCTGCTGACAAGATTCTTAGATTTTTTTTATTACTGCAGTAGATGGATAACAGTGCTTTGATGACAGTGCTTTTACACTGCTGGAGATTCTACAGAACTAGTTTCTACTAATACTATGTATGGGCGTTTGATAATCCAACAGATCATTTCTTCAAGGAGGGCAACGTTGCTCACTGAAGAGTAGTTCAGAAAATGTTTGACGCACGTGTTGTTTCAAATAACATTCCCAGTTCTGTTCTACAGTAAAAGTAGGGAAATAAAACCTTTTCTCTCAACCATAACAGAAATCCGTGGAAATTCTAAGGTAATAAGAAAAAGTTTTTGAAAACGAAAGCAGTTTCCAGTGAAGTGGAAGTGATTGCTAGCAATTATAAGCCAGTATTCTTCTGATCTCATGGAACTGTTTTTTAGGAGTAACACATTTTGATCATAATCTTTCTGCACAATTAATTGTAGACTCTTGGGACTATAGACTTCTGTTGCAGAGAGGGCCTTTATTAGCATATTAATGTTGAAGGTTACCATACTTGGACATTAAAATAGTTGGGCTGGTGCCAATGAATGTGAATGGAAATTGGTAACTACACTTAAAACTAGAAGTAACATAGTATTTTAGAATTTTCTGAGTGCAATGCTTGATTATAACCTAGTTTTTTAGTATGAGCACATGCATTTTTTTTTTTCTTTCAAAACCAGGATAACTTTCTATTTGCCTATTTTTGTCAGCTTACTACAGTGACATCCCAGTGCAGTGTGGGAGAACTTCCAAATGTTACAAAACAGTATACCAAATGTCTAGGCAGACTAGTTACAGTTGTACATGTATTTTAGAAATATGCCAACAGAAACAGGAATATACTGCATATTTGGCATCTGTTTTTGGAGTAATAAAGGTTAATTTTAATTATGCATATTGGTTTTCTTTTTATTCACTGTAAATTGTTATGAAATGTAATACCAAGTTCCCTACTATGTAAATTGAGGTGTATAAAACATTTAAACTTGTAAATAAATTTAAGAATCATGGTAAAATTGCACTCTTTATCACTGATGGGCTTGGCCTTGGCCAGTGACGGGTCCCTCTTGTAGCCGGCTGGCATTGGCTTTGTCAGACCTGGGGGAAGCTTCTGGCAGCTTCTCACAGAAGCCACCCCTGCAGCCCCCCCAGCTATTGAAACCTTGCCACGCAAATTCAGGACACATTTAATGGGAGAAGCGAGGACTCTGGTGCATGGGGTTGGGTTTTTTGAGTTCTATTTTGTTTTTCTTAAATCTAGTTTTGTGGTTAGTGCCCTGTCCTGGAAATTTAATGCTGCTGGCTATAATGCTGAAATTCAGTGACGTACCATATGGGCTGTAGCAGCACTGGCTTTTGACTTCCACCTCAAGAACAGATTTCTTCTAAGATTGATACTAGTTTTCAGTCTTTGACTACTATTTCAAGAACTGCTTCCCCTTCTGTGAACAAAACTTGCTCTTCAACTCTGGAGCGTTGCAAGACCAGTAATGTTTGTGATAAACATTTACCCATTATTACAGAGCTACTTTCACAGTAGAATATTCAGCTGACTTAGTGATGAAATGACACACCCAGATTTGGTTTGAGTATCTTTCCAGGTAGGAAGGTTCCACAGAAAAAGTATGATGAGAAGGAAACATAACATTCTTTGGAGATAGAAATTTGCAGTAAAGTTCAGGATACCTCTTGCACAGAATTTCATATAAGAATTCTCAGGCTGTCGTAGGTAGAGGGGTGGGTGGTAGGGTGATTGGTGGTTTTGTTTGTTTTAATCGCCACAAAACAAAAGAAGCCTATTGCTCTAGGACCTAGGGATGAAAGCAGGTATGGAAAAACACATCAGCTGGAGAGCACTTCTGGTTTTATGCACATTAAGTACTCCTCCAAAAAACAGCTTCATGTTTGATTTCAAATTTTGCTTTTACAAAGGGATATATGACATGTCTTAATGACAACTGTAGTTGTTGCTCTTCTGAGCATCTCTCTAAAGGTTTTATTTTCATCCATTGCTGTAGTATCTGAGCAACTAACATAAAGTAGTATTCATATATTCACAGCAAAGTTTCTCCATGTGGCTGCTGGCACCCCCCCGCCCCCTCAATTTGAGAGGGTGTGCACAGAATCAAAATTTTCTGAGAAGTTTTGGGGTTCGATTTTAGTTTCCTTTTTTTGTGGTAACTTGGTTAATAATGTTTTTTGGACAGAAAGTTGCTAGTGTTCTTTGATAAATGCTTTTGTTCCATTCCAGATTCAGCCAGTATTGAGTAACTGGTTGCACAATTTCTTCGTGGCTGTCAGTGATTTATCTTGAGCTTTGTTATGTAGCTTTCATAGTGACTCTAAATGGAAATTAGTTTAATGCCTGTAGTCTAGGATTCACTGCTCTGAAAATTAGTATCAGTACTTTGTTTATCCTGAAAGTTAGTAATTAGTTTCTGAGTGACTTGTCTTCCAGTCTGTTGTCCCCATAAACAGAGACAGCACGAAGGAAATAGAAGGTTTCTGCCCTGTCTACTGGGACTCATGCAACTGGTCAGAAACCCACGTGGAAGGCCCTGGCTTTGTCATGCTTGCTGCATCTCTCGGAAGGAACACTCCACAGCTGCGGATTTGGACCGAATGGTTTTAATAACTCCTAGACCAATTTTTCCATAATTACAAACATCAGTTATCATCATTCGATTTCCAACAGATAGCTCATTGAATTGGTAACAAATTACATGCTGTCTCTTCATCCAGTATCTTGTTCCTACAGGTTAAAAGACCACCCCATATATTCTTAGCTCTTACTCAGTGAAAGCTCCTCTGCTCTATCGACACGTCACAGGATGGGTTGTCACTGATGAACACAATAGAATTTATGGGTTTAGAGTTTTAGGACTAGTGGCTTAAACCTGAGTTGCTTTTTCACTTTGTCCTGAATCGGGGCGTGATTATCTCTAGTGAATCCTTGCCCTGTCATGCCATGGCACAGCGTCTTCCATGCTGGTTACCCAGGAGGTCTACACAAGTTCAATCGCCTACAGCCTATCCCTTCACAAACTGCAGCAAACAGAAGCCACACACAGTCTTCTTAAAGCTACATCATGTTTAATCTTAGTGAGGAAACGGGACACCAAGAAAAGAAGGATTTGAACAGAAAATGTGAGTCAGTTTGTCTTCCCTAAGGGTTTCTCATGCTGCGTTAGGAGCCTAAGCAGACTTCATCTCCTGAACGCTTATGAATCACTGCAGTCTGAGGCAGTTCTGACCTCTTGTAATCCTGCTGTAAAACCTCCAGGTCTGAGCCCCTTGGGGGAAAATTGTCTTCAGGCTCTGCGCTGGGCTGAGTTACAGCATCAAGGTGAGCAGGCAGGAAATGCAAACCAGGGGGAGTTACTCTTCCCTCCCATGCACATTGCCTGACAAACCTGTAACATAGTCCATTAAGCTGATGCAGTGGTCAGTGTTTATAATAATTTTAATACATTCAGTAAGTCACCAAAAAAGGTTTAACAATATTAAAGTGTTAGTCAAGCACACACAAAAATGACAAATGCAAATCCATTCTCTGCATTTTCATTTCTTCTGTTCTTGCCTGGCTTTTCTGAAGCCTTTGCTTCCCTGTTGTATTTATTTTTCTGTCCTTCATTTTCTCCATGTCTTACATTCCCCGAAAGTCACTGCACTTTAATCTACATATAATAAATATATAATAAATTACATTTATCTTAGTCATGGACAATCTTTATCATCTCTAAACCTCAACTCTAGCTTTTTAGATTGGGTATTGTGGGGTGATGTGCCAAGGCTTCCAAAAAAGGTTAAAAACACTGGAATAAAAACAAGACCGTGAAGAGCCCCAAACAAAATAACAAGGAACATGATCTTGAAAAATGTCCTAAAGATGTAGGCTTTTGCTGCAGCCAGGACAACTACTCCTAATATAGTAGAAACTGCACCTTGTAATACTGGGTAACCTAGCAGGGACAGAGCTTCGACTGCCTTTTTATTGGCTGATGACTCTCCACTTGTAACGAAGACATAGGAAATATGAGCAGAAAAATCTACTGAAAACCCTATACAGATGACCAGGTTGATCATGGATATGGAATCTAGATTGACATTCCAAAATGTCATGAAACCAGCAACACCAACGATAACAGAAGCTATAGCAAAAGTCACCCACAAGCAACACAGTGGGTTGGGAATAAGCAAAAGCGAGACAACGAGCATCGCCCCGGCAGCAATGACCACGTTCTGAATGGTGTTCTGCACTATTACCAGGTACTGATCGTAGTAGATGAATGCTGGGTGGTACACCATTAATGGAATACTGCACTGCTTGGCTGTCTCCCTTAACTGACTGACAAGATTCTTCTCATCAATGGCTGAGGTCACGTTCACCGTCTGGATGAAGAAACGTGAAGCTTCTATTTTATCCC